TTTTTATGAAATATGTAAGACAATAATTTCTAAGTTGATACCATATAAAATGAAACATAGAACTAGTAGATTTTCCTCTCTTTTTCCTTTTCTCTTAACTCATAGAAACAAATTACACCCAATGAATTGCCTCCTAATGGAAAGAACACAGTACATCACCAGAAAAATAATTGTTTTATGTTTTTGTTAATTCTTCTACACTAGATAAACTTAAATTGTTATAAAATACATATTATACGGGTGTTCACTAATCAAGTATAACTCTCACTACTCTTCTCCATTATGTAGATAATGCCCACTGCTTCTCACCATTATAGTTGTAATTCTCACACCTCCATAACCTCCCCATGATCTTCCCCTATGTTCTCAATAGTTAATACCATGTTCATAACATCCCTTTGTATTACCTCAATGTCATCTTATAAATAGAGGGTTTAGACATCACATTGTACACACTTGAAATACTTGAATACATAGAAGATCTCCTCTCTTTCTCTTTACATTCTTGTCTATTTTATTATTCTATATTGTTATTTCGAGCTAAGTTTCTTAATACGTTATCAGTACGATTGTTCTCTGCGACAATCCTTCTCAACTTTTAGGAAATGTGTCACAACAAAGTTGATCTGTTTTTGTATTACCATAGCCAAGTAACATTGTAGCTTCCAATGCGTAAGAATGTTCTATGGATTATCTTATTTTGGTAAGTGGTTCATCATTCCAAGGTATGCTCCTACGTATATAATTTTTGTGCTTACTTAAATACCAATTGGAAGGGTTAATATATGGCAATATAAATGTCTTCTGGTCATAGTCGTCAAATGTTTTGTTGTAGTTCTATTACTACTAGTAGTATACGTATCATATTACTTGAGCAACATTTTCCATATAGCTACAACTCAAGTATTTATTTCATTCATATTGGTAGTTCATTGTCATACATAAAGTATATCTATCTATGTGGTGTATTATTACTTACAATGCTAAATTATTTTGTGAAATAATAAAACATCTGTGGTATACCATCTATCTTGAAGGATTTATCATGTAATAGCTCTTTGAGTTGAATGTCTTACATTAGAAAATATCCTTGAACTATAATAGAGTTACTCGATATATATGGTTGTCAAAGTAATGTAATATTTTTAAATGTTTGAAGGCAAGTCCCAATGCATGCGCTTTGGCTTATTATGCCATTAATTGAGGGTAAGACGGAGGGTTCAAGTCCCAACGCACCACAAGGGTTAAAACATCGGGTTCGAGTTCCGATGCACCGTGATTATAAGAGTTAGGTTTGAGTCACAACTCATTATGGCCTAACATACCGTTATATGGGTAAGACATTGGGTTTAAGTCTCAATGCACTATATTGATGATATAATGATGACTAAAGAAATATAATATATTTTTCATGAAAAAACATGAAACTTGTCTCACTTGATTTGCAACATTCTTGACGTGAATGTGGTAGCAGTGCATAATAAGTGTAATGAAGACAAGTGGTTGACCAATGAACATGGGTGTGTCACTGATCAAATAATAATAATCATCATTATGGTGATTGTAAAAATAAAAACAATAAGGGTTCTCAAAATATTCCTTCAAAAATGTGAAGATGATGTTTGCCATCAATGTGGTATGAAAATAATAAGCATGCTCATATGATTATAGTCCACTTGAAGAGAATGTGACTTGTGATATGCGTTGTAAATGCAAACGCATTCTTAAAATTGAATGTGAAAATATATATGTGATTCAAATTATGCATAAGAATGTGCTTATGCAAGATTGGATGAATACCACAACTCAACTCTAAGGGAGGTTTGAGAGAAATAAAGATAATGAATATTACAATATGGTTACATGAATATGTCATTGGTCGCGTACATGTGGTACGTCAAAAAATATTTTGTCGTGCCTTATAAAAGGTTATTAAAGGTAAAATTAAAGCAAGAAATGATTTTGTTTATGATGATTTTGATCAAAACAATTATTATGATATGATTTTCTCCGTGAATGAGACATTCACCATGTGGATGGTGTGACAAAAGATCTTGTAGTACAAAATTAATTAAGAGCTCCGAAAGAACTAATTTGTTACTATCCGGATGAATGAAATTTTCTTGATATTGATATTGTAGTAAGTCTCAAAAGAAACTTTTTGAGTTTCAAATGTATTAGCCAAAGTGGTTGGCATATTGAGACTATAAATGAAAGGAAGATTAATTATTTTCATATTACTATAATCACACCGGGTAAATATAAAAGGTTATCCGGTTTTTCTTCTATTTGTACTACACAAGTATAAGCATGATGATGGAATCACATACGATAGTAAATTAGATGTTTATTGAAATAAATATCAGTTGGCATGACCGGTAGGCCATCCCGGTTCAATTATGATGCGAAAAATTGATTGAGAATTCACACTGGCATACACTGAAGAAATAGAAGATTCTTCAAGAATTCTCTTGTGCTGCTTATTCTCATGATATACNTTGATTGCTCAAATTATTAGAGCACAGTTCCATAATATAAATTATGATAATTTATCTTGATAATGCTGGTTTAAATCCAACTTGGTTTAGCAAAAATTGTAGGTCTCCAATTATAGTTAAACCATTGGTTATGAGATGTATTAGTTAACGTACAGCAGCACTTGTATACATCTAGCCAAGTTATGATAAATTCTCCATATCACAATTGGTTTAGGGTCAGGAACCAAATAAATTTTATCTAAAAATATAGATGTGTTATATGATTTAATTATCCCACCACAATGCACAAAGATGGGTTCCCAAAGAAGGTTGGAATATGTGTTGGTGATCCCAACATTAGTGGGAGAAAATAGGCAGCTAAAAAAATAATACATGGAACGAATTATTATGAGTACACATAGATGCTCGTACAAGAAAATTTGAACTTGAAGTTCAAGTGATAATTCATTTGCAAAATATTGTCAGGCGCATTTGTTGACCCAAAGCTAAATGTCATATTTCAGCTGTTAATGCTCCAAACAGAATAAAGTCCATGATGGACAGAGTTTATGAGACGCATGAAGCGTAATAGACTAATCGATTCTAAAGATAAAACTCCTTGAAGAAAGAGAGGAGCAAATGATAAAGATGGTCATAATAAGGAGGCAAGTGCTTTATAAGAGCACCATGACATAACATTTTATAAGACCTCATGGGAGAGGCTCAGATACCTGAAAATAATGAGATCTCGATAAGTTATGTCTTTATTGATTGATGATGGAACCGACGTAAAATGATCGTGGATGATATTGTTGATATAATGTGGCCCTTAATATTATTAATATTGACGAGGATCTTGAACTCAAATCTGTCATGAAGTTTGGACGGATAAATGATTGGCTAAATGAAAAGTACGCAGTGAAAATTGACTTCACATGAAAAATGTGAAGTTGGACGGATAGTCCTAAAACCTGAACGTATAAAGCCAATGGAGGTATAAATGTGTTCTTGTGCAAAAGGTTAAATAAAAAATCAAGTCGATAGACATAAAGACGACTCGTGGCACAAAAAGATTTGTAAATATCCTAGCATTAATTATATGGAGACATGTTCTCTTGTGGTAGATGCAGTCATTTCAGGTTTTGATCTGACAATATATTTGATATGCATATAATGAAAATCCTTGAAGGATTTAAATTGTTCTGAAGCATATCAAGGTTTCAAGAAATTTATTAAATAAAGCTTCAACAAACCATTATTATGTGGATTAGAGCATCATGGCATACATGATTTATTTTTGTTGGTGCACTATGTATATTGAGTATGACAATATGCTAGCGAGATATAGTTTTGTTCATATATGAAGATATTGTTATACTATTCGTATTATATTGCAAAAGGAATCCTTGATATAGATTTGTTTATTATAACTAATACTGTCAAGGTTTTGTTGGTTATGCAAATGCAGACATTTTTTGAAGTCTGTTCTTCAAACAATCTATTTGTATGTGAGGGAATTGCCATATTATCATTTCATAAGGTTGTCAATTGTTGATAATTATTCAAGTCATGTCAATATATTAGCAACTGATGAAGCGAGTGACTTAACACACTACAGATGTGTGACTTTTCTTTGAAGAGAAGATTCTAATAATAGTGAAGACGCTAATGTTTGCTTATCTCAATTGAAAGAAGGATATATTGAAGGAGGCAAAATAAATCCTATATTTCATCAAAATTCTTTGTCAGACACAATCTTCAACAGAATGATGAAATAGATGTTCAAGAAATTCATTCAAGTGATAATTTGGCGTAATAATTTACCAAGGCATTGTCGGTCTCAAGATTAGAGAAGTTGTTATACAAGCTTGGAATTTTTCATCTCCGAGAAATAAAGTGTTGTTTTCATCAGAGGGAGGCACATACGCGTTGTACTCTTTTTCCCTTAGCTAAGATTTTATCCCACTGGGTTTTCCTGGCAAGGTTTTTAACGAGGCAACAAGTAATGCGTATTACAATATATGTGTACTCTTTTTCCTTTACTAGGATTTTTCCCACTGGATTTTTTTCCTAGTAAGGTTTTAACAAGGCACATTATTTATAGACATTCAAGGGAGAGTGCTGTGAAATATTATAATTATATTAGTGGATGTCTATTACTCCTAAAGAAGTTACTCTCACTGCTCTTCTCCATCTCCATATCTCCCACTTCTCCAATACTTATGGTTGTAACGCTCATGCTTACATAACCTTCCCCGTGATCTTTCTGCATGATCTCAAATATTTAATGTCATGTTTATGGCATTCTTTTGTATATCTCTATGTAATCCTATAAATAGAGGGTTTTGGTACCACATTATACACACTTGAAATACATAGAAGAAATAAGAAAGCTCCCTCTTCCTCGTATATTTTTTGTCTATTTTATTATTTTATATTATTACTTTGAGCTTAGTTTTTTAACATAAATTATTTATTGAGAAAAATATAAAACCTGGTCCCACCTCCTAGAAGAGCGAGTTCTAGGCCACGTTTGATTAGAAAAATCCTGTAGAGAATGCGAGCTGCTCTGCAAATTGCAACCTTCTTTTTTCTGTAAAAATGTCCCTTCTGTTTTTAGAATTGTAAAATATACAAAAACCTCAACTTCCCTTCACATAAACTTCCTTACTCAATTCATTTCACTTCCTCTTTTCTGTAGAAAACTATTGAATTTTGCCATGGCAGCACTTACTCAAATTTCCATCAATTTCCTAGCCTTAAATACACCACACAATGCTTTGTACAGAAAACCAAACTTTATTGGGCTAAAACTGCATCGATCCATCTGTTGTTACAGTCATTTAAGTACAAGAAAAGAATCACTTTGGAACAAGTTAAGAGCTTTTAAGGAGAAATCTTCATTCTTGACAGTTAAGAGGGATAAAAATGGGATTTTGGAGAAAGGTGAGAAGAGAATGGTTTTCGTGAAATTCAAACAAGGGTTTGGATTTGATGGAATTGGTGATGGTGGTGGTGGTGGTGGTGGGAAGGATAATAGTAACACTGTGAGAGTGGTGACTAATCTTGTTCTAGCAATTGGGCTGACTTATCTTTCTATGACTGGTCAGCTTGGCTGGGTCTTGGATGCTATTGTTTCTGTTTGGGTACTCTCTCTCTCTCTCTCTCACACACACACACACTCTTCACACTTGCATCACTTAAAGTTAGCATATTAGCATTTAGATTCTATTGGCATTCCACTTGGTTATTGGAGATATGCATTTGTATTTACTATTTAGTTAAAGTTTAACTTATATAAACTGATGTTGTAAATAATTCTTTACAATATCGTGGATATTACTTAAAATCATTTACTTTTGCTATGTGGAATTGTCATTATAATTTTTTGCTATGTTGTGCGGACTCTCCAAAAATGCTGCCGCATTCGTGTCGGATCCTCCAAAAATACTACTTTTGAAGGATCTGACAACCATTCGGCGGCACTTTTGAAGAGTTCGAGCAACATAGGTTTTTTGTGGTATGCCATGGCTTGGGTACTTATCTCAGTTTTTTTCTTCCAGATTTACGTACATCTTACGTGTCACCTTTTAGGTTAATTGACTGATGTTAGTTTGGAAACTTCTGTTAATTCTCATTTGCAGCTTCTGATACTTAACATGTTAGGATAACATAACACAATGGATGGAACATGCTTATACTATGATGATGCTTATCCTTTCATATTTATGGTGGTTTTATTTTACTACATGTTAGAATTTACTTAAAGTTATCGCTGCTTGCGTAGTGCTTCAACCTAAATTAGTGAGTCATATATTACAGTATAATTTTTTTCATAATGCAGTCAATCTCTGTGTTGCTGCTTTGCATGTATTAGCAATGATTCTCTTGTCACACCGCACCTTATGAAAATTAACAGTTGTCCATTTTCTCGCTCCCAGCTCCTTGCAGTTCTGCTACCAATTGTAGGTTTGGGAGCTTTTATTTGGTGGGCTGGACGAGATATAGTTCAAGGCACTGTAAGTGAACTATACTCGCATCTCTTCACTTTGCGTCATCTATCCTGTTATTTCAACTGCCTGCTTCAAAGTTGCAAAAGTGTCTTCTTGTGCCTGTGAATTATCAAATTTAAGCAGCCTGTTGACTCATTTGACTGATTATAAAAGTGAAATGCTTAAGTTTCAACTGGAAAACAGAATTTCTGGAATAACTACTATTTTGTGACAAATAATTGGTTAGTCTTGTGCTCATATATTTTTACAATGTCCACATGATGCTTACACCATGCAGTAAAGGTTATTCTGTCGTAAGTGCAAAACTTAGGTTGCTATGGTGTTGAGAAATAAAAAATTTCAAAATTATACCAGATCAAATGAAGTGCTTTTCGAGTCCATCTGACAACTATGAACTATCGCACATGTTTCCTGATGTGTTTGCTAATGGATTTCTTCTATTGTACAGTGCCCAAACTGCGGGAATGATTTTCAAATTTTCAGGTAAGAGCAATGGAACCTTGTTTAAGAACAAGATATGAATCCAGGTGGCCTGATTATTTCTGTTAGTTAGTTATAGCATTGATTTTCACCCAGTGCAGGTCTACTTTAAATGATGAGGTTCAACTTTGCCCTTTCTGTACTCAGCCGTTCTCAGGTTAAATTTCATACTCTAAGTTGGCTTGTCTCCCTTTTTTTTTTGACAACTTTCTCATAGCTGATCGATAGATAGCATTCGTGTTTCTTTTAGTTACCACTATTCTTCTCAGTTCTAGCATTCGTGATGGGAAATTGCATATGTTTTATTGTATTTTTTATGTAACCTTATGTTATTAGGTATCTGAAGGGAGTGCTGTCAAAATCTCGTGGAGTTGGGCCTCTTTCCAAGATTTTTGCATTACCAGTATATTTCTCATCATGTATGCACCTTATAAAGCAGATGTGGGTATTATTTTAGTTGGTGGAATGGGGGGTAAGGAGCGGTAAACAAGACAAGCCAAGTCTAATAGATAGTTTATTCAATTTCGGGAGAAATTTTATAATAAACTTTTGTGTTGTGTTCAAACTTGGTATCAGTGGCCATTAACACATGAAGCAGTTCTCTAACACGGCTTTTCTACACACTGAATACAGTTCATTGCTTTGTCAATGGACTTTGAGCCTGAGCTCAATTAGCTAAGGAATATCAAATTTCGTCCAATTAGTTAATTATTTTCTGAAGGAACCACGGAAAAGATTTATCAAGAAATTCAAGTATCAAATAGCGTGTTTCATGTGTGGCATGTACCGTTGTTTACCTTGCTTTTCTCCACCTCATAATCTTAGTCCTTTGTCTAAATGCATATATGCGAGTTAGACTATCTATGTGGGCTTTTTGCATTGCAGTTAGGCTTACTGCACTGATCTCCCACTCCTAGATTTCGTAAGGAGAACTTCATGTATTTCTCTTCTTTGCCTTAAAATTAATCGATGTCCTTTGAATCCTTGGAGTATATACATGTTTGATATTTTTAATGGTGATTAAAAGTGCACTTGGATACAGCAGTGCCATCAGATGTTGCTACCAATAATTAATATCTTAAGCTATGTTGTGTGGACTCTCCAAAATACTGCCGCACCTGTGTTGGATCCTCCAAAAATACACTACTTTATCCGATACGCACCTGGCGATATTTTCGGAGAGTCTGAGCAACATAGATCTTAAGAGTTGTTGGATATGTTTGACTTTCGTTTTGTTATCTTGATCTTTCTCGGTGTAAATTTTGAATTTTGTTTGTCAATTGATCAAGTCTTTGTTCAAACATTGATGTGGGCCATATCATGGTAACTGATCCAAGCTAAGCCTGTTATTTGATGCATCATCTTTATTGATGAGTTATATTGATGATCATCTTAATTGATGAGTTATTCTACACGTCATCTTTGAGCTAAATCAGTTATATCTGCAGTTGTTGGCAATGAGTTCGTGAGAGACCCAGTAAAGTTCTCTAACCAGTCAAACACATTTGGTCAAGCATTCAGTGATTTCAGTGCTCGTTCAAAGAAAGGTTTGCATTTTTCTTACATATTAGGGAAATAACAGTCTATTCATTTCATGTTGTTTTTTTTTGGAGATCGTTCTTTTAACGAGTTAATGCTGCCTCTCCCCTAAATGAGCTAAACTTTTGCAGTTCTCCTTCTCTAAAAGTTAGTCAGAATAAATAAATATGAAAATGAATTCTTTCAAGGAAGAAAACCCATTTTGTTCCAACTTTCCTGGGATCCTTATTGCTCTATTAGTGCATTCAAATCCCTTAGATTAAAGCCTTTTTCTAAAACTTAAGTTTTAGCAATTGAAAACGTTACAGGGAAGCTGCTAATCTTTGCTTTATTAGATACAAACTTTGTAAGAAGTAGTTTGTTATTCTTGTGGGAAATGTGGGACTTTCCCACATCGGTGGCCTAAAGCTACTTTATGGGCCTTTTAAGTTCTTGTCCATTTTATATATTTGCTTAAGAATACACACTACTTTATGTGCCTTTTAAGTTCTTGAATTTAAAATTCAAATAAACAGACACATCTGTTAATGAAATAAAGTGACTTTTCGGAAAAGGCCTGATTTTTGCTCTATAAAGAAACTTGAGATTCCCTACAAAGAGATTAAGAAAAATCTGCAAATATCAAATAGTGGCTTGTTGTATCCTGAAGAAGATTGTCCGTATTTTCCCCAAATCTATATACAGGCAATAACTTCTTAAAGGAAAGTCGTTCTCACGCCTCAAGCCTTCTCAATCTCGTTTTTCAATCACTGCTTTCTAACAAACTTAAATGCTTTGAGATCACTATGCTAGACTATGGATCAACTTTCTCATGCTTATTTACTTTGAGTTTCTCTTGAAACAAAAGGAGCCTCTAGTTTTTATTCTTCTGGATAGGATATGATATTCAGACATTTTATATTTATTTTTTTAGAAAAGAGAGTGTTATGCAATTAGTAACTATCTTTGAGTGAACATTCCTTCTAAATCCACCCCCTTCCCTTAGCGGGACACGTATTTTGGGAGGTTGATCGTGGGGACATAAGGATTCAGGAAAAGCTAAAAGGCTTCACGAAGCCTAAGATTTCAACCAAGCATTCTTTTGTTTTTCTCATTGTAAGTTTCTGTCTGAGAACTTTTTTAGCATATGCTTCTAAGAGATAATCTTCCAAACGTATTTCTTGGATAAGGTTGAAATAATCCTCATAAGAAACTTCATTTAACCGCTAGATTGTGGGAAACTGCCAAAAGATGTGCAACTTTTGATCACCGGGGGTTTGAATCAGGATCCAATGGATCCCTCAATATCTGAATTAGAGACTATTCATGTATTTACTTTACAGGTAAGGATTCCACTACCGGAATTGTTGATGTTGAAGCAGAAGTTAAGGACGCGGAGTAGGCAGTGGTCTCCAGTTGTACAGTGGCATATGGTAAACATATATGTGCATTAGAGAACAAATTTGTGTCTCCGGTTTTTTATTTATTTGAAAAGAAAATCCTTGGAGAAAGATCCCATGAACAAACATTTTGTTATTTATCCATATATTTGTCAGCGTAGATACAATGTCCAGAATAAGGGCAGCCCGGTGCACAAAGCATCTCGCTTTCACGCAAGATCCGGGGAAGGGCAGCACCCCAATAAAACTATAAAAATGTTCGAACAGGGTGTACAAGCTGTGGTTCTTTAAAGAAAGTCATTTCGATATAGTCATATTCTGTCCGTCTTTATCTGCTAGATGAAACCTTGTTCTGTGCATCTTTGCCATTCCTCGCTTGGGAGGGGTTTGTTTCAGAATTGATCCTTTTATTGTTGTTATAATTCTGGAGACTTTAGGCTAGCTTTGTATCGTTCGGGTGCTGGGTACAACATTATTTGCTATAAAATTATATGAGCATATGCACCCTACGAATTTAGGAAGGAGATTTATCTTTTAGCAGCCCTTTCATGTCATGTATGAGGATGCTTCTTTTTCTTCTTTCAAAGATATCATCATTAGGGAGTATTGGGAGGCAGCAGCAGCTGAATGGGAAGAAGACCGGAGAATCCCACGTTCGTATGAAGAGAAAAGCTTCGGGGGCACTATTCTTATGAAATACCGAAGAACACCACATTCAGCATAGCTTATCATGCATGGCCCTACATAGCATACAGTCAGCAAATACATGGTAAACGTATTATAGAATGCTGCTGATGATGTTAAAGAAAGTGGTGATACAATTATACTTGATTGTAGTATACCATAACATACAGAAGCGTGTATTCGTTATTCCCTCATCATGTAGATAGCATGGGTTGGCATTTTGTAAGAACGCGTTGTTGCTTCGCATCAGGCGAGGTGTTGATGGGTATTGTTTAATGTGACTCAATTGTATATCGTAGTACAATATTTTCTTTGAATTGGACGGTTTTCATTCCTTTAATCTTCAATTCCAAAGCTGCAAATGGTTTATTGGATTTATGAGGTATTGTCTCCACAAAATATGTAAGCTCTGGTTATAGAGATTAAACAGGTACCTTGGTAATTTTCTCAAGAATTAAAGCTCCGTTTGTATTGTGAGGAATTGAAAGAATTGCATAAAAAAATAATAGGTTTTACAAAACCTTTTTGCTATATAAGATGGAGTCTACGTAATATACTGCTCTTCCGAACAGTATAAATTTGTTAAGTTAAGCAAAGGTACATTTGCGAGCACTAGTTCATTTTCTAAACGTTGTAAAGCTTACCCTTGCATAAACCACAACTAAAACCGTTCCATATTTCCACCATCATATCACATAATACCAGCGCCTCATTTTCAGTTTTCTGTAATTTGTCTCCTTCAGTAGCTAGAATTGTAAGAATACATCTCCCGTCTAACAAGCATGAATATAGGCACCAAAAGCACGACGGAAGCAAGCAGCTTGATGATCAAATGAGCTTGGTGCATCTATTGAAGCTCCTAGATTATTTATTCCCAGCTGTTGAGGTACTATCATGCTACTCGGTTCATTAAGCTCCATCAAACCAGGTCTAGGCATCCGAATTTGTTAAAATGACAAAGAAAGGAATGAGAAAAACAATGTGGCTCGTCTCCTCGACGTACTCATGGTCATTATGCAAATGAATAACTAAATTTGCTTCAAAAGAAAGAAACACCACAGCCTTAGTAAGCAGAGAGTTTCTAAATGGGCCGACATTCTACAAGGGGGAAAAATACATAGCTAGTTGTCCAGCATTTCATGCGCAATTCAGTCCAATAAGAGAGGTGGAGGAAATGGGGGGAAACCATTTAACACTCATGGCAAAAATTTTAAACCGCAGAGCCCTAACAGCTGCTTTATTCAAGGAGATCAGAGAGACGCATCCACTGTCAGTGCGATCCTTCACCAACTTTCTGCCATGAGATGAACCAAATCAGCAGATAATAGAGAGAGAGAACATCATATTTCAAGCAGTCTAAGAATAGATATTTCAAAGCAGTCTGTTCAAGGTGAAATGTCCATATACACTGTGCACATGATGAGATGTTTGCTAGGTTCAGTTAACTCGCATAATACCTTTTTCTTCTGAAGTGAAGTAAGATTTAACTACCATATACTAGTAAAACCATATGGGCAATCATTTGGTCTTTTATTATTATGTCAATTCTTTTTCAAATTTCAATCAGCTAACTGCGGGCAAAAATAGATAAAATAATGGGTCTTAAAATATTACATAGTTTTTTTGATAAAAGTATTACATAGGCATATGAAATGGACATATACGAAATAATGACACCAATTAGAGATCGTAGTAGAAATAGAAAGTTAAATATATACTTTAACATTACCAGCAACAACAAAATATTTGAATAAAGTTGTTCAACGTGAAAAGAAGTGTACCTCTTCCTTCTTCTTCCACTGTCAGTGCGATCCTTCACCAACTTTCTGCCATGAGATGAACCAAATCAGCAGATAATAGAGAGAGAGAACATCATATTTCAAGCAGTCTAAGAATAGATATTTCAAAGCAGTCTGTTCAAGGTGAAATGTCCATATACACTGTGCACATGATGAGATGTTTGCTAGGTTCAGTTAACTCGCATAATACCTTTTTCTTCTGAAGTGAAGTAAGATTTAACTACCATATACTAGTAAAACCATATGGGCAATCATTTGGTCTTTTATTATTATGTCAATTCTTTTTCAAATTTCAATCAGCTAACTGCGGGCAAAAATAGATAAAATAATGGGTCTTAAAATATTACATAGTTTTTTTGATAAAAGTATTACATAGGCATATGAAATGGACATATACGAAATAATGACACCAATTAGAGATCGTAGTAGAAATAGAAAGTTAAATATATACTTTAACATTACCAGCAACAACAAAATATTTGAATAAAGTTGTTCAACGTGAAAAGAAGTGTACCTCTTCCTTCTTCTTCCACTGTCAGTGCGATCCTTCACCAACTTTCTGCCATGAGATGAACCAAATCAGCAGATAATAGAGAGAGAGAACATCATATTTCAAGCAGTCTAAGAATAGATATTTCAAAGCAGTCTGTTCAAGGTGAAATGTCCATATACACTGTGCACATGATGAGATGTTTGCTAGGTTCAGTTAACTCGCATAATACCTTTTTCTTCTGAAGTGAAGTAAGATTTAACTACCATATACTAGTAAAACCATATGGGCAATCATTTGGTCTTTTATTATTATGTCAATTCTTTTTCAAATTTCAATCAGCTAACTGCGGGCAAAAATAGATAAAATAATGGGTCTTAAAATATTACATAGTTTTTTTGATAAAAGTATTACATAGGCATATGAAATGGACATATACGAAATAATGACACCAATTAGAGATCGTAGTAGAAATAGAAAGTTAAATATATACTTTAACATTACCAGCAACAACAAAATATTTGAATAAAGTTGTTCAACGTGAAAAGAAGTGTACCTCTTCCTTCTTCTCTTTGTTTCCCTTTGTGAAGAGCTTATAACCTCCGTAGAAGGCCAATCCCCAACCAGTAAGAGAGACGATCACAAACTACAAGGACCAAATTAAGTTCCTAATCAAACATCAAAGTGTATCAAGTGCAAGTGCACTATCTATTAGTGCTTGTGATTAACGGAGAGACTACAAATTCTAATTCTGAGTTAAACTTGTAACAATATAAAGAGTGATCAAATTACACAAACGTTAAAAAACAGCAATATAGCAAATCCTTTCCTATTAAATGCACAAATATGGCAATTTAGCAAATCATCTCCTGTTATACCCACATGTTATCACACCCAATTGGAAGGATTTCTAGTCAGTGAACTATTGAAGTTACGGCCCAAAACATTGGTGACTCACAACTGGAAGCCAAAGTTGTCGAAAAGTATGGATTTTGTCAAATCTAATATGCACTAATATTGAAAGGATACATACAGGGATCCATGTAATATAAGATTTTGCAGTGGTCTAGAATATATATATCTTTAGAAGAGGTAAAACATCATTCCCAATGAGTAGTAAGAAAGAAAGTCATTTCTCACAATCACAAGTGAGTGAATACTCTTCTGGATCCCAAATTCATAAAGAGAACCACAATCCCCACCTAAACTTGTTGTCAACCATGTTTAAGTGACCATTAAAATAATATAATTCTCTATCTGACATCTTACATTCAAAGTTCCTACTATTACTAAAGTACACCTTTAGGAAAAAGTTACGGAATGCTTACAACAAATTTTAGAAGTTTCAATTCAAACGTCAAGCAAGCCGATAATGCCAAAGCCAACAAACAAACATAACAGTTTAGACAAGTAGAAAAGACATTGCAAAGGTCTGAAAGACTCACGTGCTCTTCTTTCCATTTTGATGGACTCATCGGATCCTGCCAAAAGTTCACCTTTGGAGGTCCATGATGATCTGCATCAAAAAGAACAAATATTATTACTAGTTATTTCAACTTCCAGTATTCCGTGTCCATGAATAACAACATTACAAACAAATCCCATGGGTACTATGATTGCTTTTACAGGAAGATAATACAATTTGCGGAACAAATTAAAGTTTCATAAATTTAAGTTTAAGGAGAATTAGTGAAATTACCACCACCACCGGCAAGACCACGCCGCTGGATAAGCAAGGCACCTTGCTTCGTTGTACTAACTGATTTGGAAGCGGAGAATCGAGATAAGTTCGCTGCTTGACGTGCTGCTGCCGCCCACGCCGCCATTGTATCGTACCGTCCTGATATCGGAGTCTACCGGAGCTCGCTCCTAGAAATGAGTAGATGCAAGAAGACAATCACCAAATGACCCAAATGCCCTTTTTCAGTAGCTACTGAACGTACTGGGCCTTGGCTGCTTGGCCCAAAGGCCTTCGTAAAGATACAGCAAAAAGGGTGGGAAAATTTACTACCCTATATTTATGTCACCTTTTAATCTATACCCTATTTTAAAAAATTATTAATTTCGTAACCAACTAACAAAAAATCTATAATAATATTACCATTATACCCTTCCAAAACATATAAAATATGCATCACGCATACCAGATTCAAATTCCAAATCGCCCCCGTCTCTCCTTCATCACTCCGTTTCTCCTCAGATCGCCTCTCGCAAACCATATTTGAACCAGATTCAAATTTCAAATTCCAAATTCAAAATTATAAAATACATTGTAAGTATTCAAATTCATCTTCAGAATTCAAAATAGTTTTTGAAACTGGTTGATTTTATGATATATGTTTTCTAATTGATTGATTGAAGTTGTTTGACGGATGAAACATGAACTCTTCATTGATATGCTGAATTCTATTCTAAATTTGTTTTACGTTGAATTCTAACATTCTAATCCGACAAATTCAAATATGCTGAAGTTTTCCACTACATAATATGCTGAAATTTTTGGTTTATTTGTTAAACAAGCTGAGTTTTTACATATGCTGAAGTATATGTCTTGTTTATTTGCTAAAAAAGCTGAAGTTATTTAGTTCATCTTTAAAAACTTCAGCAAAACGAGCTGAAGTTATTTAGTTCATCTTTAAAAACTTCAGCAAAACGAGCTGCAGTTTTAAAGTACTTACATCTTTAGCAAAACTTCAGCAAAACTTCAGCATAGATGATGAAGTTTTTTAGTTAATCTTTAAAAACTTCAGCAAAACGAGCTGAAGTTTTCCTTCTACACTGAGTAAAAAAAATAAAACATAAATTAACATTACATATTGCACAAAAACTTCAGCATAGTTTTTTAGTTACTCTTTAAAAACTTCAGCAAAACGAGCTGAAGTTATCCATCTATACTGGGTGAAAAAAATAAAACATAAATTAAAATTACATATTGCACAAAAACTTCAGCATAGGTGCTAAAGTTTTTTATTTAATCTTTAAAAACTTCAACAAAACTAGCTGAAGTTTTCCTCCTACACTGGGTAAAAAATAAAAACATACATTATAATTTAATATTGAACAAAAACTTTAGCTCGTTTTGCCGAAGTTTTCAAGAATGAACTAAAAAACTTCAGCATTTTCCTGATATTTTTAAAGATGAACTAAAAAACTTCAGCATAGGTGCATTATGTATGTTATTATGATTTTTTGGAAAAACTTCATACCAAAAAATGCTTAAGTTTTTCGGAATATGTAAAATATTTTCATATAATTTTTAGTATGCTGAAGTTTTTTTAGTTCATCTGCTAAAACATGCTTAATATTTTGTCCTGCAATATGTAATTTTCGGATAAGTTTTTGTTAATTCCTCTGTTATTTTCTAAGTTTAGAAAGGATTAATATTAAGAAAATGCACAAAAACATCATCTTTCATTAAGTAAAATAAAAAATAAATTAAAATTATATATTGCACGAAAACTTCAGCATAAAATATTTAAGTTTTTTAGTTCATTCTTGAAAACTTCAGCAATGGGAGCTAAAATTTTCCTCCTGCACTATGTATTTTATTATGATTTTTTGGAAAAACTTCATACCTAAAAATGATTAATTTTCGAATGAGTTTTTGTTAATTCCTGCTGAAGTTATTTAGTTCATTTCTTCTGTTATTTTTCGAGTTTGAAGAGAACTAATATTAAAAAAGAGCACAAAAAACTTAAAACAAAAATAGAATATTTCATTAAACATTAAAAATATAAATTAAAATTACATAAAAAATAAATAACATTATAATACTTTAACTAAAAAGACTATTGTGATGATTACAAATTCTGTGTTTCGAGACCTTAAAAACCTCTTTCTGTCTCACCTCGATTTGCGTGCGCAATCCAAGCGCGTAGCTGGAAAGCCATTATATGAAATTTTGTGAAAATGATAAAATTTGCCTTTAAATGAGTTTAAGGTTACTTCGGTCAAAATTTTAGGTAAACGGACCCGGACCCGTGATTTGATGGTCCCGGAGGGTCCGTAGGAAAATATGGGACTTGGGCGTATGCACGGAATCAAACTCCGAGGTCCCAAGCCCGAGGAATGAATTTTTAAAGAAAATTATTTTCTGAAATATTTATGAGTTTTTGGAAATGAAATGTGTTGGAAATTTTATGGTATCGGCCCCGTATTCTGGTCCCGGATCTAGGTACATGTCTTATATGTGATTTAAGTTGAGTCTGTGAAATTTGGTAAGAAACGGACTTGAGATGACGTGAATCAGACCTTATTTGAGAAAAATTGGAAAATTGATGTTCTTAAGTGATTTCATGATTTTGATGCTAAATTCATAGTTGTTGATGTTATTTTGGTGATTTGAATGCACGAGCAAGTCCATATGATATTTTTAGGTTGGTGTGCATGTTTGGTTTAGAGCCCCGAGGACTCGGGTGAGTTTTGGATAGGCCACGGAGTGGAATTTTCACTTAGGAACTGCTGGTATGTTGCAGGTCTGCAGGCTTCGCATTTGCGTAGCCTGGATCGCAAATGCAAGCTTGCAAATTCGAGAAAATCTCCGCAAATGCGAAAGGATCTAGTATGCCTTGGGATCTCAAATGCGACGTAGTGATCGCAAAAGCGATCTCGCAAATGCGAAAGGCCCATCGCATTTGCGAAGTGGCCTGGAATCCCCCTTGGTTGCAAATGCGACAATCCGGTCGCAATTGCGATACTTTGTCGCAAATGCGACAACAACAAATTTCTGAGGGGTTCGCAACTGGTCGCAACTGCGATGTTTGAGACCAGTTAATTCACACTTAGACGCATTTGCAACCATTTTTCATATCTCCTCAAAGAATAAACTCTCGAGGGCAATTTTTCAAAGAAAATTTCTTCTCCAAATCAATTGTAAGTCATTTCTAACTAGTTTCCTTCAATTTTTAACATCTTTTCACATGATTTCAACTCAAAATAAATGATTTTCATGGGGGAAATTGGGTGTTTTGGGTAGAACCTAGATTTTTCAAATTTTGGGGATTTGAACCTCGATTTGAGGTTCAATTTCAAAACAAATTATATATTGGGGTTCGTGGGGGAATGGGTAATCGGGTTTTGGTTCGAACCTCGGGTTTTGACCACGTGGGCCCGGAGGCAATTTTTGACTTTTGGGGAAAAACTTTAGAAAACTTATTTTCATGCATTAGAATTGATTCATTTAGCATTTATTGATGTAATTAAGTAACTTGTGGCTAGATACGAGCGAATTGGTGGTGGAATCAAGAGGTAAAGCGATAGTTGAGACTTGAATTGTGCTCGTGGCATCGAGGTAAGTGTTTGGTCTAACTTTAGCTTGAGGGATTAGGAGTTGAGTCCTATTTGCTATGTGATAATTGTTGAGTACGACATATAGGCATGGTGACGAGTATCTATGCGTTGGTGTCAAGCATGCCCGTGAGTCTTATATTATGATTATTTTGACTCTGTTTATATTATTCATGCCCTTTTGTGATGATTTCTATTGTTGAGTAAAGTTTGTTGAAGTAATAGTGGTATTTGAGTATTGAAGAGCGTTGGCTCAAGTGTATAATGAATTGTGGAAGTATAATTGGCAATTGAACCTTATAGAGCATTGACTCAAATTGTAAAGAGAGTTGTGAAGTAAAAGTGAAAAAGAGAGAAGAAATATTATATTGTCTCCCTTGCCGGGATGTTGTTGCTTTTAATGTTATCTCCCTTGCCGGGATGTTGATGCTTTTGATATTGTTCCCTTGCCAGGATTTGGTTGTTGAACTATTGTGCCCTTGCCGGGATTTTTGTCATGACCCTAAACCCGGACCCGATCGTGATGGCGCCTCTCGTAAAGACAAGGCCAGCCGACACTTCCCATTTCAATTTTTAACAGTTAAACCATAAGAAATAAGTCTAAAACATAATAAATAGAATCTCAAAGTAGCAGATATTAGCATGATTTGCAGAATACAACCCCACATAGCCCGATATCGGGGTGTCACTAGTCATGAGCATCTATCAATCCTAATACAAGTCTAAAAAGTCTATAAGCTATTACAAAATGTCTGATAAAAGATAGAATGGTAAAGGGGGAGAAACACAGGACTGCAGACGCCAAGCAGCTACCTCGTGGACTCTGAAGTCTGTCGGGAGCTCTCAGTTCGCACTGGCAGGATCAGCAATGCATGAATCTGCACACGGGGTGCAGGGAGTAAAGTGAGTACTCCAACTCAGTGAGTAATAATCATAAATAAAGACTGAAAGCAGTAAATCATATAAGGCACATTACAGGGTATAATGAAGCAGTAAAACCAGTAAAAACTAACTCAGTAAAAGATATGTAAAAGTCATTTTAGTTCAAATTAAACTCATGAAAGCCTTTTTGAACAATTAAGCAGGTAATTGAAGGGAAATTAAGGAAAGATAAACATATAAAGGTTCGCCCCTCGGGCAATATATCAACAAATCCGCCCCTCGGGCTATCTCACATCACAATAGGCACCTGCGCTCACTGGGGGTGTGCAGACTTCTGGAGGGGCCCCTTACAGCCCAAGCGTAATATCAAGCCATCTCGTGGCGTCATCATTGGGCTCTCGGCCTCATATCAACAAGCCACCTCGTGGTGTACATACCTCAGGCCCTCGGCCTCATGATCATAATCAATGTTTCCTCACAAATAAGCCCTCGGCCTTACCCAGTCAAAAACCTCACAAGCCACTCGGCAGCAGTAAAACATTCTTCTTAGCCCAATTATCATTTAAAAGATCATTTAAGTGTTAAAACATAGTAAACATGGCTGAGTATGAAAATAGTAGAGTATGACATGACTGAGTTCAAGTATAAAGTCAAAACAGTGAGGAAATATCAATAAAATCCCCGAAGGGTTCAAATAGTTGAAACGAGGCCCAAATATAGCATTTAGCCCAAATAATGATGATAGC